TTGTAATTGAACTTCATATATGATATTTCATTATAATAAATATAATAAATATATACGTTTTACCAAAAAAAGACAATATATAATTAAAGATGTTTTATGGAATCAGTATACTATTTTCTAATGATTCAAAAATTAACAATAATTATATTATAACATATATTAAATACTAATAACATATAAAAAAAATAAATATATATATATGTATATTAAAAATTTTAATTATTGACTTTATTAAAATTTAGAGTCCTTATAAAATTTTTTAATTATTTTATTTTATTTTATTTTAATAATTCTCTTTTTCTCTATTTTATTTATTATATTATATAATTCTATTAGAAATAAATGAATTTTTTAGAGGGGAGATAAGAGATATACACTTCAAATACATATCTTGTTAAAATGCTTCTATTAATATCTTGTTATCATTATTACAAAAACACATTTCTTTCTTTATTTACATATATACATAGTTTTCCAAATTGATGAATTTATCATACAATTTATTTTCTAATTGGAAAACTAGAATGAAAATTTTAATATAAAAATTTTTTAATTAACAATTTTAATTTCATTTTCCATTTGTTTAAAACTTATTTGAGCAAAAAAATTAATTGCTCAATTATTTATTTATCAACATATTTGCTACTAATTGCTAATATAGTATATGTATATGTGTAATTAAATGTTATATGGCATATGTGATATATATATAAAAGTTAATATCACATATATAACAAAGATAATTTTTCATTATTTAATTATATACATAAATGAATATAACATATATTTTTAGCCACAATCTAATATTATGTTATATGTGCATAAGTAAAATATTATAATATATCAGTGTAAAACTATTAAAATTAATATAATGACCTATAGTAATAGGCAAAACGCATAATAGTAAAAATGTTATAAAAGAAAAAAATTATTTATACATTTATTACATGTATGTATTAAGAGAAATATTTTAAATGCATATATAAAATTTATAAATTTAAGTACAATTAATATTTAAAAATAATTTTAAATACAATTTGAATTTATTACAAATAATTTTTATCGTTTAAAAAACGATTATATTTTATTATGTACAAGAATTTTGCTTGTACTGATAAAAACATTCGTTAATTCTAAAATAAATTCGACTTATAAACAAAATTTATTGTAATTTGTAGTAATGAATAATATTATAATAATATTTAATTGAAATAATTATAAAATAAAATTTGAAATCTTTTGTTTAATATGAAATAGTTAATATTCATTTACAATATATTACGCGAGAAAATGTCATTAATTAATAGAAAAATAGTATATATTTGTACTTCTTTTTATAAGTGAGGTATCATTAATTTTTTTTAAAAATTATGAATCTTTTTTATCTTCTCGACATAAGTAGGAAGACCAATTAAAAGGACGATTTTACATTGCATTTTCATAGTCCTTCTTCTTCATTAATACAGATTTATGTCAGAAATATTCAATTGCAATATATTTATTATAATGATTAAAAAATTTTTAATTAAAATTATTATAATTTGTATTTTTTTTCATTTATTAGAATCATTTAAAAAAAAAAAAAAAAACTTCATCATTTTAGATTAAAAGAAGAAATTATGAATAAAATATATTAGATATTTTCTGATTTTTTGAAAAATATGCAAATATATAAATTAAAATAATAAAGAATAAACATATGGTTTATACATTTTTTTAATTTACAAAACATATATTTTTACTGAAAAATTATATATATTTTAGATTAATTATAATTAAAAATATATTCTTTAACTAGAATCATAGTTATTTAATGAAATTTAGCGAGAAAAGAAAATATTTTTTTCTTTATATCTTAATAAGATATCTATAAATAAGATAGAATTATTGCTTACTTTTTAATGAAAAATTTATATTTATGAATTATGATATTCCTTTGATATTATGAAATCTAATTGAATATTTATGACTATTCTTGATTAAGTTTTGCCAATGTGTTTCTTACTTTTTGCAAAACTCCTGTCATTTGTTCGTACTTACCTGTTGAATCCGGTAAATTTTCGTAATTAATCACATTGCAAATATTCTTTGAAAATTTTTCAGATGATGGTAATTTATTATATGGAGATGTACTTTGTAACACAGGTGTGCCTAAATCAATAGATTTCACACTTCCATGACTTGTATTTAATTCATTTTGACGAATATGATTTGATTCTGGAGTAGTTTCATTGCTAGATGGTAATGTATCAGATTTTGGAATTGAATTTGAAGAATTGCTTTTCAATGGAATATCTAAATTTGATTCTTGAAGTTCTACAAGTAATTGTTTTTTCATATTCTCCAATTCAAGTAATGATGGGGATTTCGTTCGCGAAGAAGGTGATATGTTATTTTCCTGTAATATTTTACATAAAATTTATCTTATTTTTTAATATATTTTACAAAAATAACATATAGATATATTTATTATAAAATGATACATATAACACTGTTTTATACATACTAGTGGCTTAGAAAGTTGTAATTCTTGAGAATGATAATCTGAATCTTCAGATATTGTTTGTGATGTTGGTAATGGTGGTTCAGGTGGTTTTAATGGGGATTCTGATGGTAATGGTGGCACAAATAATCCATTAGCAGGTACATATTCTACTACACTTTCTATTTAATAAAAAAAGAAATATTTTTATATTATATGATATATAGTATGAGATAACATATGTTAACATATTGAATATTGTTTGGAAGATCAATTCTGGAGATCAAAACAATGAAGATATATAAAAATATCTATTTAGACTTATTTAAGGTAATAAATATAATTAATGTAAATTTATAATTTATAAATAATAAATATATAATTTATGATAAATGATAAATAAATCTTCAATTAAAATTTTTGTATATTTTTGTATTTGTTTTAGCTTCTAGAATTAATATTTCAGACATATTTCATAAATATATTAACATCATATATTATTAAAATATATAAATTTTAAAAGAACAAAATATATTTTCTATACCTTCTGTATCTTCAATTTCCATTTCACTAGGTTGTGGTGCTGGACTATCATTTGATGCACTATTAATAATCTTGAGTTTTTTTCTCTTATATCCATCATCTGCTTTCTTTCCTCTTAATTGTAGTAACATTCTTTGTTTACTATTAATAGTTAACATTCTTGATATCCAATATTGTCCATCCTCCTATTATTTATAATTCATAATATAATTCAAGAAATTTAATTTTGTAAAAATATATTAAATTGTATTATGAAATTTGTTTATCTTACATCACGGGTACCAGGTGGAGCTGGTACATTAAAACCAGGAAAATCATATATTTTTTTTATATCATATTGATCTCTATCACCTTCTTCGATAATAGATCCTGGTTCATCATTAGGATCTTCTACTGGAATACCATCAGAATTAAATAAAGACAAACCAGAGTGTTGTAAACGTGCTTCCTCTAACCATCCTGGAGGGTAACCAAGCATTCTCATTCTAGAAAAAATATTTTAATATAAGAAAACTATTAGAAACTCTTTTTTTGATTCTTATATTAAAAATTATTTTATTTATATTTCTATTTTATATATAATTAAATAAATTTTTTTTCTATTTTATACATTTTTTTTATTTTTATTTTTAAAAATTATAACTTCAAAAATTAAATAATAACTAATTAAGTAAAAACTAATTACCTATATATATGTCTAGGTAATTCATTACTTCTCAGACCTAGTGCTTTACGTAAATTATTGCTTAATTGACCAGGAATTATATGACCAAATCTTTGATTATCTTCCAAATGATATCTAACAGTTCTTGTATTTTTCATATTGAAATTTTTTCTATTTATTTCTATATTAGCATAATTTCTTGGTTCTGGACAATCTCGTAAATTATGATTTTCCAAACAATTAAAACACATCATTCTTGAAGATGGACAGTCAGTCTTTAGTTTTATATCTGATTCTAATATTTCTTTATCAAACACATTTTCATATTTCTAAAATAATTATTAGTAATGTTAAAATATTAAAAACTTAATAACAATAAAATACTACAAATACTACATTTACTTGTTTTAAATAATAAATCTTACATATCACTAAATTAATTTAAATATTGAATATTAATAAAAAAACAGACCTTCCCATAAGTTGGAACATCAAAATCATCTTTAAGTTTTGGTTGTTTATCTACAGTAAATAATGTATCACATATTATATCTTGACTATCTTCACTTTCTGTAGTAATTTCAATAGACTGACTTATAGAATCAGTGTCATTATCCCAAACTTCTAATGTTAAACCATTATCATTTTCTTGACATCTAATTTTGCAAGATTCTAATTCTTCTAGAAATTCTTTAATTTTTTTATTATATTGCCTAAAAATTTAATAAAGAAATGAAAATAAAAATTATTTCTGTAATAATAGAATAATTATTTCAATATATGTATTAATTGATATATTCTATTTAGAACCAAAATAATGTTTTTTTTACAAATGATTCTTGGTATTTATCATATACAATAAAATATGTATATTTAATATATATATATATTTAAAATTATATACAAAATAGTTTATTTATTTTACGCGAAAATTGATAGCAAATTATACATAAAAATACTTTAAAAATACTGCAATTTCATTACCGTGAAATACTTTCATCTCGAAATATAACCTTCAAAAGTGGTTTTGATGTACTTGCGCTATCACATGTTACTCTCATAGATGTATTCTTATTATTATCCACATAATCACTAATTATGTTCGTTTTCTTCGCATTATTGTTCGATAATGAATTTTTTTCAATCGAATATTCACTTTGGTCATTGTCAGTAACATTGATGGCATCTTGGCTCGAGTCCAAATCAATCACCTCTTCGTCGGTATCTTCGATAGTAATCGTAGAATTCATGGAAATACTATCGACACTGGAACGAGAACATAGATGAAACAGTTATATATTGTAAATGTGTAACTTTATCGAACAAAAACTTTATCCTCTTTTGAACTTTTATCTTAAAAAAAATATGATACTCCAATCCTATGAAGTTTCCCAAACGCAATAAAACTTAACTGTAGAGGCGCTCTAATTCGTGAACAGGTAAACATACATGGAAATTTTCTTTTAAAATTTAATTAAGAATTATAATTAATTTAAATATTTCTTTAAATAATTTTATTATTAATATATTTTTTATTTAATAATTTTTGATGTTAGAAATACAAATTTTTAAATGTATTTTAGACAACAATTATAAATATTTATATATTTTATTATATATATAATATTTTTAATAAAAAAATATATTGCTCGTGTGTTTTAAAACGATTAATTATATTATTATATATTGTTTCATATTTCTAAATTATAAAATATAAAAGTTTGATTGTTTTAATAGATGGCACTGTTAGTATAAAAATTTGCATCACTTAATTTCGGATGTAATAAAAATTTTGATAATCTGTATTCTTAAACTTGTATTAATGAATCAAATTTTTAGCTTTTTTAAGTTTATTTTCATTACATTGATATTAAGTGATATTTTAAAAAGAACAATGAATCATAAAAGATAATTAAATATTAACCAATTTAATATTTAACATGCTAAAAAATTGTTTTCAAAATTCAAATGAAATATTTAATAAATTTTATGATGGTTTTCTTAAAACATACTAAAACTTCATATACTCGGCGTAAAATAGAAAATTCAAAAAGAAATGGTTTGAGGCATACTATTTTCAGCCCCCGAAGCAAAAGTTATTATATAGGTGAATGGAAAAATGATATAAAAGAAGGTAGAGGTAGAGAAGTGAACAGGTATATTAATTATTACATTGATAATATATAATAATTATATAATTATTATAAATAATTAATTAAAATTAATTAAAAATATTTATTATTTGTCTTTTATTAATTTTTTGATATATGAAAAGAAATTTCATTTTGAAATTTCATAGAGATGGATGGATATATGATGGTAGTTGGCTTAATGGTAAAAAGCATGGTTGTGGTATTTTAAGCAAAATTTCAAAAGAAGATCATAAAATTCGCCGATATTATATTGGCGAATGGGTAGCTGGAGCAAAACAAGGATTTGGATATAACTGGTTCGAAGATGGTAGTTATTATGAAGGTGATTTTTGTCGAAATAAACGACATGGTTATGGTCGTATATGGTATTGTAATGGAGATTATTACGAAGGAGCTTGGAAAAATGATCTTTATCATGGTTTAGGAATATTCATTAAAGGTTTCCAAATTAATATCATCTGTTGTTTTTGTAGTTGATTTTTATGTTTTATAAAAATAATATAAATATATAAATTAAAAAAATAATTTATCAAATAGAATGATTGTAATTTTAAAAAAATAGATATTAATTAAATATTTAATATAATTTTTATAGATAATGGCAATAAATATGAAGGTCAATTTGTTAATGGCAAGAAAGAAGGTTATGGCACATTTTACCATATAATTACTGGTCAAGAGCAACATGGTTTCTGGACAAGCGATTTATTCGTAAATGGCACTATGTTGGATGCAGATTTCCGACAATGTGCATCTCGTCCGACGCCATATCCTATTCCAGAAGTATAATGATTATAAATAAAATTTTTATAATTCATATTCATTATAATTATTCTTGATTAATTTTTTTTAGATTAAATTGATATCGCATATCAAGAGTTCTCAAGACATTTCTGAAATCAACGATCAAAAGAAAAAATTATCTTATGTTGAAGATTTATGTAGAAGAATACCAAAGCATATAATCGCAAATATATGTGTATCTAGAAATACATGTTCTTGTTTAAATTCTGTTTTATATAAATAAATATATTTATTTTTTAAAATAATATATAATACAAACTGAATCAATGTTATTTATATAATTTATTGTAGCAAAAGTACTTCAATTTTGCATATTTTTTCTATCAACAAATATATATATAAATCATTTGTTTGCAATAAAAAGTATGTACAATATAATTACCACTCTTTCAGCGACGGCAGTAATTTGACAACCAAGTACAAATACAACAGAGACAATAAAATAGGAAATTATTTTGTCTCCACGTAAAAAACTTGAAATGTCACTTGAGCATGGGACATCTTATAAGATTATAAAATAATAAATTAAACGAACAAAATCATAAAAACTGTGAATAATACCGGGAAGCATATTTTTAAACGAGATAATAAGTACATTCAACGCGAGTTAGTCACGCATTGTCAACGAAAAATATAAACTTATATTTGTAATTGTTGCTTTTTGAGTTATAGGTAAAGAAAATTATATGATAAATATTACTGCATACCGTTATTTTGATAGATTAAGTCGCTATGCGAGAAAAGGAATGTTTGGCTTTCATACATACACTCTTTCATCAAAAATTACTTTTCAGTACGTGTAAAATTCATCACTATATGGATAAATATGGGGAAGAATACAATATATTGCTTATTGAAAGAAATAGTTGTTTTCTTTCAAAGTTATCATGTTTTTCAAGTATTGAATATTCTCTTATATGATTCAAAAATCACATCTAGAGTAAATTTGTCATACACACAATTATTTTTGGTATTTTCCCAAACTTTTTGAATCAATTTTCATCTTGCATTGTAATATATATAACTTATACATGTATAAGTTTATATTGCAGCCTGAGCAGATAATCAGAGATTCACCATCCTCCATTATAAGAAATTATCACATTTTAAAAGTAACATAAATCATGTCTCATTATGTTCAAACTACATGCGTCACGCCACTGGTTTGTAGCAAATTTACACCATTCCTACCCTCAACATCGGTTGATTCTATTTGTTCTTTAAGTAACTCCAATTCCCTTATACCAGATACTGTGACTTCATATTTGTGAGCTACCAAACTTCGATAAAAATGTATCGCGAATGCAAGAAAAATTATTAGTACTGGTATTAATACGATACAAGCGGACCAAGCGGCCACTTGTGAAAAGTCATAAAACTTTACCCAACAAAGTATAGCAATTTCCAATAAGAATAGTAAAAGTCCTAATAAAGTGGAAAATGCCCATGCTACTTCAATGTACCAATGTAAACGTTCATGTGGTGATTCATGTACCAAACTTATACTATGTAAATTGCATACAGCTTCAATATTTGGTAAAATACATGTTGATATCATTAGAGCTAACATATGAACCGCGACCAGCAAGGTAGTACATACAGCGAAGGCAATTAACATTTCTGAAGGTACTTTCGTATCGGAATTCAATTGTACTTCAACCATGGCTACCTGTGACAAAAAATTTTATTTATTAATATATATATAATTATTATATATTAATTATATATATATATAAAATATAATAATAAATATACAGTAATGTCTGTGTAATAAAATCAATGTGTTATATAATAATATATAATATTCTCTATTATTATACATATACAATTCTTTAGTTTTTAA